TCCTGCTGATTTTTCATCTATTTTCAAAATAGTCAATAATTATTCGTCCTTAATATGGCCATCTCTTTCACAGGAATTCTACAATGACTTTTTAAAATTATAGTTGTATAGCTCTTCAAGACCTCAGTAAAAAGGCTATAAATGTTTTATTAGCGCAGCTGAATGGGATGTTATTCCTGCATAAGATAAAATATATTTTCCTTACTCTTTCTCCAATCTCAGTTTGATCTCCATTTGGTAACTGCTCCAAATCGGGAAGGAGAGCACAGGCTTCCAAAACTCGCTCATAAAGCTGCTTCTGCATGGCAGAGCCAAAGAGAATGTTTTCTTGCAAAATGCAATTCTGAATCCAAGCCTGCTGGGAAACATAAGCCACAGAGCCCTAGAAAAGAAATAAATAAAAGAAATACTCTTAACAAGAGAAAAGGAGAACTTGCATGCACCACATTAAAGGAACATATTTAGTCCATGGTTTTGCTTTCTTTAAACTGAATTTAAAAATATTTAGATTATTTCTTAAATGTAAATATATTCTATTTACATTTTAATCTTATATCCTGTTTTAATCTTATGTACTTTTATTAGAGTCCCCTTCAAATGAGTTACTCACTCTAGCTTCTATCAAAGTTACCTGTCTGGTGGGATTTTCTGGAAGCAGACACTGAGTTTATGAGTCAGCTCTACCTACCCTAACAAAGTACCATGAACTGGGTTGCTTGAACAACAGAAATTTCTTTTCTCACAAGTGTGAGATCAGGTGCTGGCAGGGTTGGCTTCTCCTGAGGCCTATCTCCTTAGCTTGTAGATGGCTTTCTTCTCCTGAGTCTTCGCATGGCCTTCCCTTTGGGTGTGTGTCCTAATTTCTTCTTCTCATAGAGATATCAGCCATACTGGATTAGGACCCACCCTCCTGACCTTATTTTAACTCATTATCTCCTTAAAGACCTTATCTCCAAATACAGTCACATTCTCAGGTACTGTGGGTTAGGACTTCAACATATGAATTTGGGGGGAATACAGTTCAGCCCAGAATGTTGAATTTGGAGTGCAAGTTGTTTATTTGGGATCAATTCTTAGGAAAGAAAAGGAAGAAGGAGGATTGGGTAGAGCAGGAAGTCACACAGCAAAATCCAGATCCAACAGAGATTTGGTCAACCCTCCAGAGAGCTATGGAGGTGCATCACCCATCAGAGTTGTTCTCTGTTAGGCTGAACTGGCCCGGCCTTTCAGAGTGGGACCCCAGGAGGCCAGCATGAAGGTGCTGATGTGCTATATGTACTCCCAAGGCTGGGTGGCAAGCCCTTCCTAGAAGTGGGGGTCGGGGCAGCACATCTCTCTCTTCCACGTACTCACTGCTCTTAAATTCATTTTTTGATAAGTTTATGTCTTGACATTATTCTTGAATATGACTCTGCTCCATAAAATATCCTTTTAACTAGCCCTTGTCTTCCAAAGGACTCCCAGTATTTGAACTAGAGACTCACATTTCAATCTGCCCCATGGACTCTATCCAAACACTGATTTGAGTATTTTGAATATTATGCACTCTGTAACAATACCACACATTTAAAGTACTTTCTGACGTAGACCTGTGTGTAACTACCAGTCTTTTGATTTCTACCAACTACTTTAAAGGTCAAAGATTAACTTTTAATTCCTCCTTGTTGAGCATGTAAGACATAGAATGGCTTTTGAGCCAAAACAATATATAGTTCTGATCTGACTTGATCTTGAAAACAAAAGTAATTGCTCTTGAATTGCCTCATTTAGTGAATAACTTTTGATTAGAATAGCATATTAAATCTGTCCTCGGGTGACAGAAGTTCTGAATACTTGATATACATTAGTCAAGATAAGGGGAACAGAGGGTGAAGAACACAGGAGAAAAGACTGTAGAACAGGGAAAAGTGGTATATAATATAAAACCGGAACTAAATACTACATTGAGAGGTGTGGACTTGATGTTCTGGTATGACAGCAGCTGAAAAAAAGTTGATCAATTTTCACAGAGATGTAAATTTTTCCTTTTATCATCATTATAATTATCATTTGCGTCTCACATACAAATGAAAATGTTTTTGTTTCATTTCATCCTTAATAATAAAACTACAATAGAAGTTTTGCTAATTCAAAAATGGACTCTAAATCTCTGATGTTTTATCAAAGAACATTGAATATTGGATACTCTGCAAGAATGATATCTGATGTAAGCCTTAAAAACTGAGAATAGGGGATCTTAGAATTTGAACGTTGGAATGATATGCCTCAAAAAAGTGCTCATGTGAAACCTTGAGAAACAGAAAGATGTAAACAAGATCACCTTATAAATACTAAATGTTAAGTTGGCCATGCCATCATTATGATATTACTACTAAATTAGATATAATAAGGATGACACATATATTTAGGATTAAAAATGTTTTCAGAAATAATTCAGAGTGTGGTACCTCAAATCCTCCACTGATCCAGACCAACAAGCTTCCTTAAAGAACAATGTGGCCAATTATACAGACAGATAATATTGTTTCCCTTTAAAACAAATATCGTATATTAACGCATGTATGTGGAACCTAGAAAAATGGTACAGATGAACCAGTTTGCAGAGCAGAAGTTGAGACACAGATGTAGAGAACAAACGTATGGACACCAAGTGGGGAAAACCGTGGTGGGGTGGGTGGGGATGGTGGTGTGCTGAATTGGGCGATTGGGATTGACATGTATACACTGATGTGTATAAAATTGATGACTAATAAGAACCTGCAGTATAAAAAAACAAACAAACAAACAAAAAAACAACTAATACTAAACTTTCTTTCGGATATTTGTATGGAAATACGTTAATATAAATGTTGCAGACATTACATGAAATTTCTAAAAATCTTATATGTTCTGGTATAATGTTATAAGTCATAATTCTAGTTATTACTTTAAAATGTATATCTCAGAAATAACTAAATTTCATTGTCAGTTGATTATTATGAACTTTCATCAAATCTTTAAAAAAAAAAAAAAAGAAAAACAAGCCATTAAAGAGAAATTCTTCCAAGAGAATTAAAACACGTTATATACCTCTGAAAAAAAAAAAAATATATATATATATTGTTTCTCTTTGACAACCCTAGCTTAACATAAACAAAGTGTGTCCTCTCTGCTTTACGATTAGTAATAGCAATGTTATGGTTTCTATTATCACCATGAACACTTTCTTAATTAAGAATTCTCAAAGGTATCAGAAATAATCTTTAAATCTTACCATGAGTACCTCAACAATCATAATGAAGATAACAACAACCATAAAAATTCATAGGGAGCCAGCTGACTCTATGCCAAGAACTAGTCTGTCTTTGCACATTATCTTATTCAATCTACTGCTTAACCTTTCAAGCTTATTATTATCATTTATGCATCAGGTGAAACCTAGAATTGCTATTGTTTTTATCTTGATACACTCCTAATTATTTTTCAAGATTAAATAAAAGGCTACCTACTTTCTGATTGTTTTTCTCTTTAAAGCAGAATTTGTTGTTTTTATACCGTTTCATTTAAAAAATCTAATTTAAATACTTGTTGTAATTGACCTTAGTATCTCCCTCACTGGACTATGAACGCTGTAAGAAGAGTAGCATATCCTATTCATGTTTATTTCCCTGGTACTAAGTGCTAGGCACATAGTATGTGCTCAATAATTGCTTTGTGAAATTAACCAAAGAAACTGAACGATAATAAAATCAACATGACAAGCATTATATTTTTAAAGGATACTTACTGGCCTAGGAAAAGGTATAGTCATCTTGATCGACAGACAAATGGCTGATTGCAATCATTAGGAAGCACATAAGGAGACAAAGATCGTGTACTTAAAGTTAAAGAGTAGTGGTATTCGTTAAGTGTAACCTTATCAGAAAAAGTCCTAAAAATCATACTTGATTCCAAACTAAGAAATAGCAATGCTGAGAGAGAAATAAATAATCCCAAAGAACTGGAGTCAGGAAAGATATAAAGACATGAGGAAAGATATATTATAAACAAAAAATAAAAAGATTTGGAGTTGCTTTTTCCTCGAGAGCAAAACTGTGAAGACAGTGGTTTCAGATCCATAGAGCTTCTCCATCTTGTCAGATGTGAGAGGAGCGAATAGGTAGTATTCTACCTAAGAGTTAGTTAGGTCTAAGGAAAAACTCATTAGATAGTCTAGTATTTCAAAGAAGAAAAAGCTGATGAAGAACTTCTTGAATTCTTATTCCTACTTACCTTTATGAATAAAACAAATGGCTGGGAGTAGACCTCTCCTTAGTCCAAAGGCTTAAATTTAAATGTAAGCTATTAATATTATTATTTTCCTGAGGTTTTCCTAGGTCAAAGGTCTTTCTCATGAGCAACTACAAGATTTCTTAGAAATGGAACGGCCGTAATTACTTAGGAAACGTTGCAGTGAATGATAATTAGAAACCTAATCAAACTACATTATAAATCACATTCGTTTCTCTATAATTGGTTGCAATTTAGTTAATATCATCAAACAACTACCATAAGCATTCCTAAATGATTTGCTGAAGTATTTGGAGGACACAATGCTCTTACTAAGCCATCCATAGTTAATCGATTTCTGTGGAAATTTAAATGATTGTTACAAACTAAAATTCTCATTAAATACTTGCATCTTCAATTCAATTTGATAAATTCTTATTGACACTAATGATATACTGGCTGTAGCCTGTTACACTAGGAGATGTGAAAAGAATGCATTGTTGACTTTACCTTTCTTTGGACTACTCCTTTAAGTTTCTCCATTTCCCCTAAAACGGCAGAAAGCAGAGATGATTTTCCAGACCCAACTTGCCCTATAACAGCCACTAAAGCTCCTTCTGGAATCTTTATGTTTAAGCTGCATGACAAGAAAAGGAGAGAGATGACATAAGAAGTTCTTGTTATAATTGTTTTTAATGTATATTCCTAGACAAGTCACTGTATCACTGTACTGGGTATCATCCCTGAAATTGCTGCTATTCTCATTGTCCTACATTATTCTACAAACACCCAAACTTCCAAAATGCAACAGCAAATGCTGCAGAGGAAAACAGAGGAAATGAAAAGGGAAAAAAGAGAGTAAAACAACCATAAAAATGAAATGTGCAGTGAGAGGTTTAAAAAAAATATTGTAAATTCCAATAGATTCATCTTCTGCTTAAAAACTCTAAAAAATAAAAACATGGAACATTATAGAATTCAATGCTAAAATTTTTTTGTTTTTAATTTTCCCCAAACCATGACTTACTCTTTTAATATTGGAATCCCTGTTTTATCCCAGGAAAAGGAAGCATTTGTAAAACCAATGGCATGATCTAGGAAGAAAAAATAAATACAAATGTATCTTAGAATCAATTGTCTTCAGCCTAGAAATCAAATAAATATTGAATACAAAGAGGAACTGCTGACCTCCTATGTACTTTGTTTCTATACTTCGAGGATGAAAGTCCTCAGTATTGAGAAAGTCTTCCAAACGAACCAATGATATTCTTGTCTATCAAAATAAATGCAAATGAAATTTCTTGTGTTTCAAGCACAAGTTAAACTGAAAAGCATTTATTGTGAATTACAGTATGATTAAAAATTTTTGATGCAAATTGAAGATATTAATAAAAATATTCAGCAAGCATAGTTTGCATTGTTTTGATAAAAATATTCAGCAAGCATAGTTTGCATTGTTTTAATGTTTATAAATAAGTCCATCCATAAAGAAAAAGAACAGTTTCAAGGATCAAAGATCAAAACAAATATATATGCAGGAAAGCATGAGAAGAAGAAACCAAAATTCCTCCTTAATATTCTAGTAAAAACATAATAACTGATTAATTAATAATTATACAAAAATTAGTTTTTAAAAGCAACTTCAGGACAATTGAATGAATTCTGCTTCTGAGCATAAATAAAATGATTGTTTTGACAATAGTAACATTTAGTTACAGTAAAATACCTGTAAAATGTTTAGCTACAATTATGATAGAATCATTTTTCCCCCTGAAACTGACTTGCATGAAACCTCTAGTATATTTCTATTCACTTTATGCTAGAAAATGTCTATTGTTAATGGATATGATGTAATTGGGCTGTGGTTTTGTTTACCAAGTGTGTCATATCAATATGCAGAGCTGGTTCTTTTTCTTTTTCTTCTCTTTTCTTTCTTTTTTTTTTTTTGACAATTGTTCTCCTTATTTGTTTAGTGACAGTAGTAGTATACCACTTGGAGTTGGAAAACACTTTGCCATACCAGACCTTTAGCTAGATTCTAATTTCAAAAGCAAAACTAAACTGTTACTCTATGAATGACATTTTCTTTAAGAGAAGTGTGCTGTGAAACAAGTGTTAAAAGCATCACAACAATAGTACTTCTATGCCCTCTGTTGGTCATTATTAGTAAAATAACATCAAAATGGTATTATGTAACAAAAATAGCTTAATTGGTATTTACTATAGAAGTATGTTACTCTTCATTTAAATAATTTAAAAATTAAAAGGCAAAGTTCTTAGATCAAAGAGCCGGTTCCAATAAGCAAAGATTCACTTTGTTTATGAACCCAGACTTGAAAAGGATTTGGTGGTGGAATGCCCAAACCTGATATCAAAAAAATTTAACTGAGAAAATCTCAGGGCAAAGGGATGAAGGAACTCAGTTCTTTGGATTCCTTGTGGTTTTGGCCGCCTTCTACTCATTATAGCATCTAAAGAGCCTCTAGCAATTGGAGATTACAATAAAAGCAGGCTGAACCAGATACCTCATACAAGGTTTGTTGGCAGACTGATATTATCAATGCACTTTTCTCCCTGGTTTATTCATTCATTATAGATGAAATGCTGCTGA